ATTTATTTAGATTTTATTCCTTGTTAATTTAACTTTATTTTGTATTATTGAGTCTTGCCTATGCCAGCCAAAAAATTAAAAAATCCATGGTATCGAATAATTGGCTGACTTTCATGACCTTACTTGAACCGGATTTATTGAATAAATGTTCAGTCTCCTTGAGTTCCTAGGAAATAACTTGCGAACTTGTTTACTTCCTGGTTCTGAAGTTTGTGTGACATTTTCTTTTCAGATATCTTACTTGCTGTGCGCCCTTGGAGATGGTCATCTGTTGAACTTTATAATAAACACAAATTCAAATTCTTGTGAGCTAATGGACAGGAAAAAGGTGTCTCTTGGAACCCAGCCTATAACACTCCGTACATTTTCTTCAAAGAATGCTACTCATGTATTTGCGGCATCAGATAGACCTACAGTCATTTACAGCAGTAACAAGAAACTACTTTACAGTAATGTTAATCTGAAGGAAGTTAGCCATATGTGTCCTTTCAATTCTGCTGCTTTTCCAGACAGGTACTTCTTGTTTGTGTTTTTAGCTGGAGATATTCAGTTTCTGTTTTAGGGCTCTTAAGTACGGGAGTCTCTCTATCTCTGAACTCTCTTTTTTTAATTTTATAATTTTTTACGCAATTTAGTTTGAAAGTAAAACGATGGGTAGGAAATAAGTTAGCTATGTAGTTATTTAAAGTTACCATACTAACAAAAATTACTATATTATAGTTCTATACAATATATTATATTTTCTTTCTTTTCTTTTCTTCTTCTTCTTCTATGAGAAACTGAGCTTTTATAGAGTGAAAGATCATATAAGGGTGTATGAAAAACAAACTCACAAAAAGGAATTCCAAAAACTAACTAAGAAACAGTCTCCCATCGAAAAGAATAACATTAAAACTAACAATAAGCCTAACTTCGTTCATGGACCTCTCCACACTCCTAAAAGTCCTACTATTTCTACCTAAGCCCAAAACGCAGGAAAAAATGTATATATACAAGCCTTTCAAAGGAATTTTTCTGTATAATACTACTACTGTGTGTATATAGAAGTAATGATGAACTAACAGAGAACCTGCAATCCAAGTAAGTTTATTTTAGAATCATGTTGGTAGACCATGGAAGTGAGCCAATTGAGATGATGCCAGTTCTTCATATGGTCGATATGTTGAGAAATGATTAGTATTCTGGAAACAATTGACATTTGAATGATAATTTGGAAGTTGATGAGGAGTCATCATATTGAAAACGATTTCCACGGGGATGTGTCGTTTACTTTTCACGCCTTTTTTCTCTTTTGTTTACTTTCATGTGGTCTTGCTTTTCTCAATTTATATTTAGGATTTTTGGTTAATGACTTTTTGTCCCAATTATTCTTTGTTTTGATTTTTAGCCTTGCAATAGCAAAAGAAGGAGAACTTACAATTGGCACTATTGATGATATTCAAAAGCTTCATATCCGCTCTATCCCGCTTGGGGAGCATGCACGTCGTATCTGCCATCAGGAGCAGTCCAGAACATTTGCCATTTGTAGTTTGAGATATAACCAATCAGGCACGGAAGACACTGAAATGCATTTTATTCGCTTATTGGATGATCAAACCTTTGAGTCCATCTCAACCTATGCTCTTGACACTTACGAATATGGGTGTTCAATTCTTAGCTGCTCTTTCTCAGACGATAGTAATGTATATTACTGTGTTGGAACTGCATATGTTATGCCGGAAGAAAACGAACCAACCAAGGTATTAGCACAAACTGCATATTTTTTAACCTGAGAGTAGGACCTTGAGCCTTGCAATTCATTTTAACCTCTTGGTATCTGTTCTGATCTCCAGGGCCGGATATTGGTTTTTGTTGTTGAGGAAGGTAAGCTGCAGCTTATTGCTGAAAAAGAAACCAAGGGATCTGTTTATTCCTTGAATGCCTTCAACGGAAAGCTGCTGGCTGCTATTAACCAGAAAATTCAATTATACAAGTGGACACTTCGGGACGATGGAACTCGTGAGTTACAATCTGAATGTGGGCACCATGGACATATACTTGCTCTTTATGTGCAAACCCGTGGAGATTTCATTGTTGTTGGTGATTTGATGAAGTCCATTTCTCTGTTAATCTACAAGGTTAGTCACTATCCCATAACTCATGTATTGCTCGTCTTCGAATTTAGCCTACTCCCCCTGTAAAATGAAAAGAGAAGCATCAATTTGCATGCTTTATTTATTTTTGGTTAAATTCCACTTGGCTCAAGATTCTATCTTCTGAATACTGTGGTTGTTACTTTTGTACCAGCATGAGGAAGGTGCCATTGAGGAGCGAGCCCGTGACTACAATGCGAATTGGATGTCAGCAGTTGAAATTCTCGATGACGATATTTACCTCGGTGCTGAAAATTACTTCAACCTCTTCACTGTTCGAAAGAATAGTGAAGGAGCAACTGATGAGGAGCGCAGCCGCCTAGAGGTGGTTGGTGAATACCACCTTGGTGAATTTGTTAATCGGTTCCGACATGGTTCCCTTGTAATGCGATTACCAGATTCCGACGTGGGCCAGATTCCGACAGTCATTTTTGGCTCTGTCAATGGCGTAATTGGGGTCATTGCTTCACTTCCTCATGATCAATATGTGTTCTTGGAGAAGCTCCAATCCAACTTGAGGAAAGTGATAAAGGGTGTAGGAGGACTGAGCCATGAGCAGTGGAGGTCTTTCAACAACGAGAAAAGAACTGCAGAAGCTAAAAATTTCTTGGATGGAGATCTAATCGAGTCGTTCCTCGACCTCAACCGCAGTAAAATGGAAGACATCTCTCTGGTGATGGGCGTTTCGGCCGAGGAGCTGTGCAAGAGAGTAGAGGAATTGACAAGGTTACATTGATTCGCGTTAATTCAATTTTGTTTATTCATTTGTTTCTCAGGAATTATGCTTCGACTCGGAATTACTGTTGTGTTACTCGTGTTTAGTATAAGAATCCTAAAACTGATGTGTAATATATTTGATCATCCTTGTTCATAGAGCCGTTCTGTCTACTTTGCCTCGTTGCAAAGCATGTGGTTCAAGATGTAGCTAATAGATTTTAATTTAAGAGACCATTGGGCCAATTTTATAATTTTCAGAATGGTCAAAACACATTGGAATTTATGTCGGTTTATTTTGAATCTTCGGTGACAGCAGCTTTAGTTTAGTAGCTAATAGGTTTAATAGGTTTAAAATTTAAGCCAGATCGTCTGGAAAAATATTAATCTCCTCAATTAATTGGAAAATTATATATTTCATGGTCTAGTCTTATATAAACTCATTGTATAGAATATTGTCACTTACATGTCTCCACATGAATGGTTTGAATCAAATCATTTGTAATAATTACAAAGTGGGTCATATCAATAGTGTTATTAGGATAAGACACTCAACCTTATCTATATTCTATACTACGATTATTACTTGAACATAATCATCTTGCATATCAGCCACATACTATTCAAGATTACAATAATAATCTTATATTTTTCATGCAATACTACATAATATTGAATGGGAAATTGATATGTATGTCTATTTAATTCTTATCGATGCATTAGAATGGAGGATGAGATGTTGTGAATTGTGCTCTCGGTGATCGATAAATGTTATCTCGCCGTTAAGCTTGCTTGAACGTATGTTGATGTTTTATGATTTTCATGTATTAGGTATTAGGTGATGGATAGAAATATCTCCTTGATAACCATGTATGAATGTATAGAATATGTTTTTTTTTGTGTTTTAGGAGTTTGATAGGAATAGCTCTCTAGTAAAAAAGGCATGAGAGAACCAAGCTAAGATTAAGACGCTAGAGCTAGAGTGGTTTACACGTTGACCTAGGTTATACCATTTCCTTTAGACCTAGCACCCTAAGATCATGAGCAGCGATCAAACTTCTAGACATGAGTCCACCTAGAGATCGGATTAGCTCGAGGGGCTAACCTCAAGTATCCTAGAAACATGTAATGTAGACGAAACTGCCTAGACACTCCTAAGGATGTAAGCCTTCCATGGCGCCTAAGTATAGTTAAGAAAGCTTAATAGAACCTCGAAGCCACTTAAATGACTATTGAGTGAAGATTTGGGATAAGAATGACATTGCATTCTTTATAAAAGTGTAGAAACCTCTCCTTAGCATACGCATTTTAAAAACCTTGAGTGGAAGCCTGAAAGAGAAAGCCCAAAGAGGACAATATCTGCTAGCGGTGGGCTTGAGCTATTACAATTGGTATATGAGCCAAACATTGGGCGATGTGCCAGCGAGTAGGTTGAGGCCCAAAGGGGGGTGGACATGAGGCGGTGTGCCAGCAAGGACGTTGGGGCCCGAAGGGAGGTAGATTGTGAGATCCTTCATTAGTTGGAGAGGAGAACTAAGCATTCTTTATGAGGGTGTGGAAACCTCTCCCTTGCAGACACATTTTAAAAACCTTGAGGGGAAGCTCGAAAGGGAAAGTCTAAAGAGGAGAATATCCGCTAGCGATGGGTTTAGACTGTTACACATTACCTCATAAAATATGTTAGGATAGTATGACATCTAGCTAGTCTAAACATCATTCATGGAAGGTTAGTTGGCGACCCTTTCACAAGGCCATAGAGTTGCTTTGAATCTTGGGGAGCAACCTCCATGTGCAGCCCAACTACTAGGTTAGCTGCATGGTCTCACGCCCCCTTTCAGGATGGATTTACAGTGCAAAGGTCCTGCTCAGGAGACCCCTAGTCATTTCCACCAGATAAAGACACTTGGTCATCTCGACATGGTACACTATCATGCCTAACACGAAGGTATGTGTACTCCCACCACTAGGCAAAGGCGCCACTAGTACTAAGGGCGTAACAAAGGAGATACGAGACAGACTTTGGTGACACCATCACACTTCTACTAGATTTGTTAAACTTTCTTAGTCATTTTTGTTGTAGAGATCTACTAGGTTCTTAGGAGTATTTAGGTGATTTAAAACTCATCTATGTTAGGGCTAATCAAATTTCATTACCTGATATAAATCTGGACTTCCATATTTCGATAGAATGACTAAACTCAGATGAAGAACTTGCAGAGCAAGCAAATTCTGTTCTATGGGTATCAATCTCAGTTTGTAGAGCTCACAGTTGCATCATCACGACACTCTTTGGGTGTAACATGACTACAGACAGACTCCATAGCCTGTACAGAGGCACTAGCAAATCCCATAAGCGCCTGAAAAACGTTGGGAAGGCCTGTTTTCAGATGGTTTAAAGTCATGGACCGCCCAGCCTCGACCGAGTTCAGATATTTGGCCTTCTCGGTATCGACAAGCTTCTTCAACGCATCGGTTTTTGCACGCTTTATTGACAAAGGATTCTTGGGGCTCAAACTCTCATTTCCATCGTCACACACAAAGCTTCCCCCAAGTTTTCTTTCCATCTCTGCCAGGGAATGCATCTCTTTTTGAAGTCTCTTATCCAGCTTTTCGTATTTCCTTTGGAGATTCTGTTCTTCCACTTGCTGGAGTAGCAGGGAGTTAATGGCTGACAAGAGATTCTTGATGGCCTCTGAAGCTGCCTGTAAGAAGATGGGGAGGGAATAGAGTGAATATTAATAGGAGAGGAGAATAGAGTTTTGATGGTTCTCATGCATAAAACCTACTTAAAGTAGCCAATTTTCAATGACTTAAGTGTAACCACCTAAGCCCACTGCTAGCAGATGCTTTGACTCGTTACATGTCGCCGTCAAATTCACGGTTTTAAAACACGTCTGCTAGGGAGAGATTTCCATACTCTTATTAAGAAATGTTTCGTTCTCCTCTCCAACCAACGTGGGATCTCACAATCCACCCTCCATGAGGGCACAGTGTCCTCGCTGGCACACCGCTCGGTGCCTAGCTCTGATACCATCTGTAACAGCCCAAGCCCGTCGTTAACAGATATTGTCCGCTTTGACTTGTTAAGTATCGCCATCAACCTCACGGTTTTAAAACACATCTGCTAGGGAGAGATTTCTATACCCTTATAAGGAATGTTTCTCCGATGTGGGATCTTACAATCCACCCTCCATGGGGGCCCAACATTTCGTTGGCACACCACTCACTGCTTGGCTCTGATACCATTACGTATCATCATCAGTCTCACAGTTTTAAAACACATCTCCTAAGGAGAGGTTTCCATTGTTAAGGAATGTTTCGTTCTCCTCTTCAACCAACGTGGGATCTCACATGAAGTAACTATGGCATAGTACCTACTTAAATTAAACTGAGAACAAGTACCTTGTCAGGTAATCTTTCAAGTGCATTCTGCCAATTTTCGCAGAGGTTAAGAACCACAGATGAACAGACACTCCGTCTATCATGATCTACAAGGAAGTCAGTAAGTTGAGTCCACCTATGGAGGGTTTTTACGTACTCCCTCTGATATTTCACGAGATTGCAGAAGCTGTTGTACCAGACAGTTATCTCAGCTGCGAGCTGAGCAGTGGCTTGGCGATGGTAATCTGTACTTAGATTTACGTCATGGTTGTTAATCTGATGGCTCAACTGCTGGGAGATTTCATTCTGTATTTGATGGCATTCAGACATCATCTTCCACATGTGCAATAACCTGTACAAGAATGAAGCAGAAAAATGAATACGGATCTCTAACAAATGGCTAAAGGTGGAGAGATTATTTTAGCTCGAGTATAGTTTTGATAATCTTAAGCAGTTTTGGTTAACAACTGATATGCAGTCTTAAAAGATCTCCCCCAACTACAATAACACGACAGAATGAATGAAGATTAGAACATTTTAGTGAGGAGAATATGTTTTTTGTAAGGTGTTGGGGCTGTTTCATTTCGTTTTGAATATCAAGTTAGTAAGGATAAACCTTAGCTAATAGCCCAAACTCACCGCTAATAGATATTGTCCTCTTTGAGCTTTCCCTTTTGAGCCTTCCCTCAAGGTTTTTAAAATGCATCTGTTAGGGATATGTTTCCACACCCTTATAAAGGGTGTTTCGTTCTCCTCTCCAACCGACGTGAGATCTCACAATCCACCCCCTTCGGGGCTCAACCTTTTCACTGGCACATTGCCTAATGTCTTGCTCTCGTACCATTTGTAACAGTCACCCCCCTCGAGGCCCAGCATCCTCGCTGGCCCTCATTCTCTTCTCCAATCAATGTGGGGGACCTCCCAATCCACCCCCCCTTCGGGTCCAGCGACCTTGCTGGCACACCGCCTCGTGTTCACCCCCCTTCGGGGCTCAACCTCTTCGCTAGCACATCACCCGGTGTTAGGCTCTGATATCATTTGTAACAATCCAAGCCCACCGTTAATAGATATTGTCATATTTGGGCTTTACCTTTTGGGCCTTTTCTCAGGTTTTTAAAACGCGTCTGCTAGTGAAAGGTTTCCTCAACCTTATAAAGGGTGTTTCGTTCTCCTCCCCCAACCAACGTGGGATCTCACATTAACATTGGGGTACAGAGGTCCATGAATGGTAAGCAAATCAAATATACAGGTGGTGAGGGAAAATACAAAGAATCACAATAGGAAAACTGAGGAGAGCAAGAAAACAATTGTTCATTCTTCTTCATTCAGAAAGTCATCGTTGAATATCCCTGTATACGTAAATAAAGAAAGGTAAGATTTTCTTGCAATGGCTCAATTGAAAGGTATGTGCATTTACCCCGAAGTTAAAGCAACCAGTTGCGGGTACAGTTCCTCATCCATTAGCGCCAATATTGAAGCACAATGTTCACTTATAGCTTGCCGCAAACGTATAATGTCAGTCTCTAAACTCTCAACAGCCTGGAAAGTTTTCTCAGTTTTGGTCCGATCATAGTGTTCATCCTCTTGTCTTTGCAGTGTCAAAGCTTTCTTCTCACGCTCCAAATTGGTAACCTCTTCTTCCTACAAAATACGAAGAAAATTTAAAGAAACGAGGACACAAAAAAATTCTCAATAAAATTTTATGAAGCATACAGAATCATGTACAAATCATTGAACCACCACCACCACCAGTATCAATATATCAATGGAAACTGCATTTAGTTGGCATCATTTCATACTACGTAAGTTATGATCTTCAAAAACACTTTAAAAGAAGAAAAATTTTCTTTTAAGAGCAATGAAGACTATGTTGAGGATTGTTGGGAGGAAGACCCATGTTGGCTAATTTATGGAATGATCATGGATTTATAAATAAGGAATACATCTTCATTGGTACGAGGCCTTTTGGGTAAGCCCAAAGCAAAGCCCCAAAAGGTCAAAGCAAAGCCATGAGAGCTTATGCTCAAAGTGGACAATATCATACTATTGTGGAGAGTCGTGATTGCTAACATGGTATCAGAGTCATGCCATTAACTTAGCTATGTCAATAGAATCCTCAAATGTCAAACAAAGAAGTTGTGAGCCTTGAATGTGTAGTAAAAATGTGACTCAAGTGTCGAACAAAAGGTGTACTTTGTTCGAGGACTCCAGAGAAGGAGTCGAGCCTTGATTAAGAAGAGACTATTCGAGGACTCCATAGGCCTCAGGAGAGGCTTTATGGTGTACTTTGTTCGAGGATAGGATTGTTGGGAGGGAGTCCCACATTGGCTAATTTAGGGAATGATCATAGGTTTATAAGTAAGGAATACATCTCCATTGGTACGAGGCCTTTTGGGGAAGCCCAAAGTAAAGCCATGAGAGCTTATACTCAAAGTGAACAATATCATACCATTGTGGAGAGTCGTGATTCCTAATAGGCTAGACACGAGTTGTAGTAGCAGTAGATACTAGGTCAAAAGCACGAGTTGGATTAAAAAATATCGTTGAATGAAAACAGTTGTTTTCCAATGTTCTACAAGACTCGCCAACAAAAATATGAAGTACTAGTCCTGCAAACTCAAACTAAAGTGAGCTTTTCATATCTACACTAAACTGCCCTTCTCATTCTCAAACAGGAAGTACATTCTACACTAACTAGCTTAAAAATTTCCCAAGTTTGAAAATGATAATATTTAGGCTCTATAAATACACTATCTACACTCACATACTTCATATCTTTCTTAATAAATAGTAAGTAAAATTTAGGAACTCTGGATTTTGGTATTCTTCTTGAAATATTGACCATGAGAAAATTAGACTACAAAGAAAAATGTTGTAAGATCTCCTGTTATGAAGAAAAAGGGATTGTAAACTGTGGGGTGGGGACCAGGTTGGGAGCATGCGTGCTGAACAGAAAAGTAGTAGCGGTAAAGTTTATGTAGGGGTTTAGTGGGTAGTATTTTGTGTATAAGACTGTTGCTATCTTTATCAAATTGGCTAAATAACCCACTTTCAATTGAAGAACTCTCAAAAGAATAGTGTTGGTTCTTGGATTATATGTCTGTATTTTTCCGTGTGTTTAACAAGTGATTTGGATATCACATACTTAACAAACTCGTATTAGAGCACGTCAAGGCAAATAGAAGACGGACTAGAAGGGATGGAGAAAGAAATTAATAAGATGAAAGAGGTTTTAGTAAGCTTGAGAAAGAACCTCGAGAGATTACCTATTGCTATGAAGGAGAATCAGAAACCATTGGTTTGATGATTGTTGAGAGAACATCTAAGAAGGGCAATCATCACTTGAGACCATGAAGCAATCCTCACTACATATGAAAGAGAGGGAGAGTTCCCAGATGAAAAAGTGACTAGAGACGGAAGAAGATGAATCGATCCAAGGTAGGCGAAGGAGGCGAGTAGTGATCGAAGCAAACTCAAGAAGTTAGAAATATTAGCTTCTCATGAAACGTATTAGGAAGTCATCAGTTGAGCGATACAAAGAAAATCCTAGTATTTGAATTAACATTTCTACTCACTCTTCTTGTACAAGCAACACCAATTAGGAGACCAGCATGACAGAATAAGAGGAAAAGTGGACTTCATCTTGCATATGAGGATGTCTTTGAGGAGTTACTTTCCACATGCCAAAGTGGGTCTTAGGAGATAAGGGGGAAAATGTTCAAATTAAACTACCCTATAGGAATACGATAAGGATGAGAAGTTTCTTCATGGCAACAGCGAGGAAAACAAACATATACTCTAAGATATTGCATACCAGTTCATTTCAGCACGATTCTTATTTTATTTACCTTTACGTCTTTTTGAAGTCTTTGCTCTACTGCATAAAGTTTTTGCAGGGTGATACAATGAGCTCCAGGCCGACATGGTTCATTGGAACCACAAAACTCAACTGTATCTGTTGTAAATTGAAGTGAATTAGATGACCACCTCCGCGATAGTGCATTGAAGACCTTAGCAGAACTGCTTCTCTTCCCTGTAAATCATAGGTTGCAGAATCGCATAAGGGATTTGCAGAAAAATAATGGGAACTGATGATTGTCCTATCCGAAAACATTTTAAGACGAGTCCACTCAGGATTACCATCAACCACATGAACAACTCTCAGAGAATTCCCACTTGACATTTTCATCAATGACATAGATAAAAACTAAAGAACAAACATGGATGGATAGTACATGTACATGACGAAGATCATAATTGATTAGATTACAAGCAACAAATATCAGCATAACAAACTAAAAAGAGATAAAAAAAACAAACAATCCGCACTTCTCGTGCCCTTTGTGGAGCTTATGGCTGAAAAGAAATAAGATACTTTTTTAGGACAAGTCTACTTCATTATCTAATTTTTGGTCTCTGATACAGCTTAATCCTTCTTCGTAGTACATTAGCCTTAACAAATTCTTTTATAACTATCCTCTCTCTTTTATTTTTCTGTTGAGGATTGTTGGGAGGGAATCGCACATTGGCTGGTTTAGGGAATGATCATGGATTTATAAGTAAGGAATACATCTCCATTGGTATGAGGCCTTTTGAGAAGCCCAAAGTAAAGTCATGAGACCTTACGCTCAAAGTGGACAATACCATACCAGTGTGGAGATTCGTGATTCCTAACATTTTCTTTGTTGAAAGGCATTTTGTAAGTAGTTTCCTTGAGCAAGGGAGGTCTCATACCCCGGGCTTTAGGCTTTTTTTTCCAGTTTTTTGTTTCATATAAAAATAAACAACAACAACATCAGCATACCAAATTTGCTAGTGTTGAATGCTCCCAGAGTTAAGAACAGATACATTGGAAGGCACAGACTACATGTGATGTCGTGTCCCACGTTGGTTGGGGAGGAGAACAAAATACCCTTTATAAGGGTGTGGAAACCTTCCCTAGCAGATGCGTTTTAAAGCCTTGGGGGGAAGCCCGAAAGGGAAAGCCCAAAGAGAACAATATCTACTAGCGGTGGACTTGAGTCGTTACACTACAATTGCAAGAAGGATGTAGGGGCAGCATGCTCAATATTAGCCTCATCAAATAAGTTCAACGCCATAATCAAAGGGAAGAAATGAAACCATACCAATAGTTAATGGGTTCTTTTTCGAACAATCTCTAAGAAATTCAAATATGAAAGCTGTAAATGATGCACAAAGAAGGCAAAAAAGTGGACAAAGAAAGAGAGAATTTACTCTTGTTTTCCCTGAAGTTATGTGGCTGAAAATCATTTCCAACGCTGATATCAATAAGAACAGCTATTTCCTTTATACCGCTGGATGCTTTAAGAAAATACTCATCGAGTTCCTTCACCACAGCTCCCAACGTTTTCCTTTTCTTCCATGATATCATGCCCATGTCTCTAGCAAATTTCATATGCAAGCTAGTCGTAGAAGAACTACAATTCACCAAGTCCCTTTGCTCTGGATTCACAACATCTTCTACAGCTTCTTCCTCAAATTCACTCTTAGTCTCAACCCAATTTTCCTCTTCAACTGGCCCAACAATTTCACTTTTCTTTTGTTGATGCACAGAAGAATGCTCAAAAGGATCCCAATGCTCCCAGGATGAGCTCAAAATTGGAGGTGATGGGGAATGATCACCCTCATCATCATCAGTAACAATGCTTCCTTCTGGGATAAATTCATCTTTCCGGCCATCTTCAGCTCTATGCTTCCTCAAATCAGGGCTAAACGGCGGAGGTGGTGGTGGAGAGGGAGGCAAGGGAGGAGGTGGTGATGGAGGAGATGCCAAGCCATAAATAGTATCTTCGAACTCCAATGTTTCGGACTCAGTAAATTGTCTAAGAGTGGCACCTGTGTTCTTCAATGCCCGCAAGTAAATTAACAGAGCATCTGCAAATTCTTTTCTAAACCCTATTAACTGTTTCATTAGCTTCTTCCTCTCCCTACATGCCTTCACTTTCTCCTCCTCATTGATACTTGAAGCAGCACAACCCATTTCACCAAATGAGTGGCTAATGAAAGATATTGGCTATGGAGTTTCAATCACAAACGCAAGCAAGCAATTGAAAGACGATCAAGAAGCACAATGATTTGGGAGAAACCCCAAACCTAGAATTAACTTAAACAATGCCTCAGAACTCCATTAAAGAAGCTACTCTCCAACCTTGATTTCAGGTGATTACAGAGCTCAAACAAACAGCAAAAAGAAGTTCATAACCAGCAAAGCCCCAATCGCCAAATTACAAGATCGAAGAACAAGGGAAACAAAAAAATACCACCGAAACTTGACGATGCTTTTCTTAGCTGAGGTTCAAACTTCGACTCCTTTTGCGTTACGATTTACAGCGCTTGATTGGACAAGGATTCATAACAAAAGACAACGAAAGATGGAAAAGAATCAGTTTAAAACACAAAATCTGATTAATCTCACAACCAAACAAGCTCAGAACAGTATCGCAGAATTATTTTACTCCAGGAGAATATTTAACTGATGAAATGATGGAAAAGAACATTAGAACAGTCGCTCTGACATGTAGAAACTGCCAGCCGCAGAATCCGCTGCCCCTATCACACCCGGAAGAACATCATCAACCATAACCAATCGATAATGCGACAACCACAGATGGTTTCTGAAAAAATCGTCGAACAGAAAGGAAAATTTTCAGTAATATCGAGAAGAAGCTTGTGATTTCTGAGTACCTGAAGCAGAGTGTCGCCTGTTTCTGTTCGTCCTCTACACAAAATGGAAGTTTAAGAGAGAGAATGCGTGAGCTCGAAAATCGAGAATCAATGGGGCATCCAATGACTTGGAAAGCTTATCTTAGAACCCACCAATTGCAATTATCCATAATCATCATCATCATAACCACCATTAATGGCGGTTCTCTGTTTCTTTCTTTACGCGAAGAATTTACTGTGTTCAAAAGGGGGATTGGTCCAAAAAATCGTATGATTCTGCTAGAACTTTCAACGCAAGATTGTTCCATTTCACGAGAGATTTTTTACAATCACTTTGTCTAAGCATAACAAGATAATTAATGTTCATAGTGGTAACAGTTACCTGTGTGGGAGGATGAAAGGATGAAAGTTGGCTAATTTAGAAAATGATCAAATACTCTATAGTGGTCTATAGTGGTGTCAGACATTTTGAGAAGCCCAAAGAAAACTCATGAGCGAGACATTTTGGAGAAGCTCAAAGAAAACTCATGAGAGCTTATGCTGGACAATATCATACCATTGTAGAGAGTCGTGTTCGTCTAACATAATATCAGAGTCATACCCTAAACTTGGTCGTGCCAATAGATTGATAAATCCTCAAATGTCGAACAAATTACTCCAAAAGAAAAGGAGTCGAGCCTCCTCCAAGACATGGTCAGAAATGACTGAGACAAATAGTCGAGCCTCAATCAAGAAGAGGTACTTTGAATTTTTTTTTTTTTTTTTTCTAAAAAGTATTTCTAAATTTTTATTAAAAAAAAAAGTGTATTGTTAGTATTTTATTTTGATAAAATAATATTTTAATTCAAAATTAACATAGAATTAAATGGCTTTAAATAACGCTAAATCATTCAACTTTGTTTTTTTCTCTCAATAATACTAAAAAATACTAGTAAATTTTTTTTTAAAGTTAAAAAAATATTCGTTAATATTTATTTTAAAAAACTTTTAAAAATATTTAAAAAGTTTTATTAATACATATTAATTTTTTTTTAAGTTTAAAAATACTTTTAGCATTACAACCATATTTAAAAATTACTTAAAAAATTTTAAAATATATATATATATATATATATATATATATATATTATTTTGTAAAAATATTTTTTGAACTTTTTATGAAAGTTTTAAAGTATTTTTAATTTTTTTTAGGTTTAATGATATTTTTGTTTTTATAATAAGGTATAAAGTTAAAAAGGTTATTTTTATTAATTTAAGTAATAAAAACAAAGACTCCTTTTAAATTTTTATTAAAATATTTAAAAGCAAAAGGCAGAAATATTAATACTAAAGGCAATTGGCTTCCAAGTAGGAATAAGAATAAGAATAATAAGGGGAATTGGCCATCATAACGTGCAGCCACCGGCTACCGGCATTGACCCCTTTTTCCTTCACCATTGTCCCATCTTTTTCCAAAGTTTTGATTATAAGCTACCGACACATCGGCCGATTTTTTTTTTTTTTTTTTTCTATTCAAGTCTATTGGCCATGATTCTCCTTTTTGACTTGTGGGTCACTAAAAAGTATGCACCCGGAACTTTAATAAAATACTTTATTTTTTCTGTTTAAATTTTGATAAATTGGAAATTAAAAAAAAAAAAAAATTTATTGATATGTATGGTTTAAAAAAAATTTAAACATCACATCGAGAGGCGCTTTCTTAAGCGCCATTGTCACACCGTAAGTCATAAGCACCATTGTCACACTCTAAGTCATGCAACACATCCTCGCCAATATACATGAGTATGTGAGGGAGAGAAAGAGAGAGAGAGAGGGTACTTACCAGTGTATCTCAGTCGATGACACGAATTCGGCACGACGGCGAGGAGCATTAGTTCCAACAAGCGTTATTGTTGTTGTTGAGAGCAGAGGAAACCACAGAGACTCGGAGGAGGAAATTGGAACTGGATCCGAGGCAGAGGAATCAGGCAAAGAAGAAAGTGTTGTAAATTGTCATAAGTTTTGATTTGATTTGGTTATTTGGATTAGATTTAATCATATATTATATACCGGGGAATTTGATATCAAGATTTGTGAGAGTTTTGTGTGTCATTGTATTTGTTGAGTGACATATATTCTAAAGTTGTTTTTGACCCTACTAAGGGCATTTGAGGTCAGTAAGACCCCAATTTACTCAATTATAAATAATCTTAAAAGTAATATTGGGAGTATTTACTATGTTTGGCTAGATCAAGTTTAATAGTATGTCCCATGAATGTGATATGGGCTCTTAGAGGTGAAGCTAAGAATGGAAGGACAATTTCAAAGCAACTATAAAATAGTTAGGGACTTGCTCCACGACCCTAAGTGACCTTATTGTTGGAGTTAGAGAATTGAATGTGTATGATGACGCATGTCCCGTAGTCCCTGCATGCGTCATAATGTTTACGCTATGTTTACGTGTACTATGTAATGACATATGATGCTATGTTATGTATGTATATGATATCCATTATGTCGTGATGTGAATGAAACGAAACACTATGTACATCATGCTATATTTTGCCATGTAAAACTATATGATGAATTATGTGATGATATAAGTTGAAGGTCATGATGACTACCACGTATACATGATGCATATATGTACTACGTCATGGATGAAAGTAAATAGGAAATGATGTTGATGTTATGCTATGATTTTAAACCAAGGGAACCTCATGCATTTATGTATATCATGTATATCGGGATACTTCCCCATTATGTTATATTAGTATGGACGCGTACCTTCGATATTTATGTTTGTCATGATATCATACGGCATGTCCTTTTTTCTGTGGCATCCGGCGACGTGTTAGCGCGTTATGTCCGATCAAACTAGGCCCACAGGGTACGTATAAGAACCCGCTTGGTGAATCTATGTGTGTGTGCGTGGGTCGTGTGTGAGGAAGTACCACACATCCAACTCTGCTCGGAAGTGGAAATAGTCCAAGGTCATACTACGGTTTTAAAGAATAGGTCCAATCATATACGTGTGTGATTGCATTACTAGCCCCAACAGTGGGGTGACATACTGAGTATTTCTTAAAATATTGAACACACGTGCTACTCTTATTTTCCAGGTAAAGGTAAAGTGCCGCTGCACGGATAAAGGTGAATGTTGGAATGGCCATGGAAGTCAAGATAGGATCTAGTTTCTTGTTTTAAATTAAACATATAAGTCCATGGTTTCGTTTAAAAATGTTTTATTTTAAAATTCCACATATGTTATCAAAGGCATGCATGTAGTCGCGCCTCTAATTTAGGCAAGAAAAATTACGGGCATTACACTCGATGTAACAGCCCAAGTCCACCACTAAAAAATATTGTCTACTTTGGCCCGTTACGTATCGCCGTCAGCTTTATGATTTTCAAACGCGTCTGTTAGGGAGAGGTTCCACTCGTTCTCCTCTCCAATCGTTGTTGGATCTCACAATTATTTTTCTATTGAAATATAGCCGCTACAATGTGTATGATGTAACTTTTTTTTATGCGGAAACATTCATTTTAAATAGTTCAGAAATGATGTCGTGTACTTACACTTTAAAAATAAAATTCTTAAATCAATCCAAAACAGGTAAGAAACGAGAATAAACAATACGTCAAAAAATTAGAAAACAACACGTTGCCCTAATTTAACCTAAGACTAATAAGGAAGATGAAATGCAACTACCCTAACACTGGTTCCATGGTCTTCACACACTGCCTCTATCATCCGTACAAGGGTGTCTTACCTTTACCTGAAATGTAAGAGTAGCACATGACGAAAACCTATCATCTAAAACAACATAGCATAACCTTGAGCTCTTTCCAATTCTGTCAGGGTTGGATGTGTGGTATTTCCCCACGCACGCACACATGGACTCCCCAAGCGACCTCCTATACGTACCCCTTGGGCTCGGCTTCTGTTGGGTTAAACACGCTGACACGTCGCCAGACACCATGGAGAGAAAGACATGCATGATATCATAGCAAACATAAACATTGAAGGCACGCACATGTACTAACATAACATAACGAGAAAGTATCCCGATACACGTGAACACACCGTTTTGTATGAGGTCAGATAACCTCCATTCTTTCATAACAAATTAAACCTAGTAATTATACATACATGATTCTTATACATCATTCCATGCATAACATAGCTTCTAAGACATGATGTCAAAACATATCATAACATGTCATAACATAGCGTAACGTATCATAGCATATTATGACATGTCATAACATAACATAGCTTATCATTACATAACACGTTATTTCATTTATACCATTATATTATTTGACATATTCTATAGCGTATATAACATCACATATCAAAGTATATCACACATATGACATGTTGAAGGGCCACTGGGCACGTATCATTGTACATAAGACACTTCTTCCAACCAAACCGATTGTAGATCCACTTACTTGGGTGACCTAGATCGGAGTTACTAATTATTCTTTATACCATCCTAAATCTGCTCCTCAAAGTCCAATTCAACCTCGTAATTATCATCTTGACAATACCAACTAAAACAAAATGACTGCAAAGATCAACCGCTTTGTAGTCTAATTATTTGGTTGACCTAGGTCCAAGGGGTGGATTGTAAAATCCGATTGAAGAAAGAAACGGTCCTACTTTTTTTACCGCACGGCGTTGTGATCTTGACACACTCACGACTAGCCTTAAAGTGAATTAAGCCCTATATATATTTTTCGCCCCGACTTTGTGGTTTTGTCGGACCTTAGGCGAGATTCGTCTTCGCCAATCGAACATTGCTTGTACGGAATCCAAGCTTGTTCGACCACACGCCTACGCATGCATGTTCCATCGTCTGCGACATATCTGACTTGCCTCTACACTAGGCTAAGTCATTCAGCTCAACCTTGCCTCTGCTCAAGGCCAAGGTCCCTCAATGCACCATCGTGTTTCCTCTTATCATCTCGATCTCCAACGACATGGCTCATATGTCTTGATGCCATCCTGAGTCTTAAGGTGTCGTCAGCAATCGCAACTCGCTCAGTCATACCATCGAGAACGGGCCCGTGTGTCACTCATCTCATCGAGACTTCCCGAACATCCATTCATCCGGGTTCTATCGAGGCATTGTCCCTCCCGTGCCTGTGCCATGGGGTGTTGTCGCCCATCGCAACTCGCTCGGTCATGCCATCGAGAACGGGCCCGCGTGTCGCTCATCTCATCGAGACTTCCCGAACATCTATCCATCCAGGTTCTATCGAGGTGTCGTCGACCATCACAACTCGCTCGGTCATGCCATCGAGAATAGGCCTGCGTGTCACTCATCTCATCGGGACTTCCCGAACATCCATCCATCCAAGTTCTATCGAGGCATTGGGCCCTCCCGTACCTGTGCCATGTCATTTACGAAGCATTTATTTTTAGGCTTAACAGGTATGACTCAAATTCTTACATGAATGCGAAAACTAATGGGCCACCAAACTTTTGTGGTAACTCATAGGTACGAACCAAAAAGCTTGAAAAGCAATGGGGAAGCGAACGTGTCCTTTCTTCATCAATCTTCCAAAAGTAGGGACCGGGAATTTTAGGCTAAAAGGAAGCGTGAAAGGCAACTTTTTATTTATTATTTATTATTATTTTTTTTTTAATAATAATTGTCCGTAAAATTATACAGTGCCTTTCATGTGCAGGTTATAATGAAAAATTAAAAAAAGAAAAAAAGAAAAACAGAAAAAAAAAGGAGTCACGCCATACACTGTTGTTATTATTATTATTATTATTATTATTATATTTTTTTAATTATTATTATTATTATTATTATTTTATTATTATTTGTAGAAATGGATGAAATGATGAATAATTGGGAGTTGGAAAAAAAAAATCAAATTAAATCAAGTAATAATAATAAAAAAATTGAGTAAATGTATATTTTTCAGCTAAAAAACAATTTTAGAATAATATTTCTATTTAGTCAAATTGTTAATATAAAATTATTTCAAGCACTTTTAATAAACGTGATTTAATTTTAAAATTATTATCGTTGAATTATGGAAAATAAATGCGCCTTTTATTGATCTAGAAAATAATTTTTAATTATTTTAATTTATTTTAAGCTCTCGAATGTAATATCGGTTGACTTATAATATCCATTTTTTTGCTAGAGTGACAAAATATAATAAACATAATAAATTTGGTTCATATAATTTTGAGAAAGTTATAATTTAATTTATATAGTTTTAAATATCAAAATTAGTCAATATTATTAAGATTTTATTAAATTATTTATGTGGTTTTGTAACTATCTAAGCTCACCGCTAGTAGATATTGTCTATTTTAACTTGTTACTGACAATTTCACAATTTTAAAATATGTTTACTGGGGAGAGTTTCTACATCTTTATAAGGAATGCTTCGTTTTCCTCTCTAATTGATGTGAGATGTGAGATCGCATCAGATCATTAAAAAAAAATTAAAAATATGATAATTCATATGTTTATTTTACCTAGACAAAAAGAAATCGTAATTTATTGGGCCTGGGCCGCGGAAGGTTCATCAGAATGGACCGGAGCTAACTATTGGGCCTGCCTCACTTTGACTAAGTTCGACTTTGTTTCTTTCTCCGCCGTTCGTCTCTCGCGGCTTCGTTCTTCATCGTTTTGGTTTTGAAAACTGGAGGGTGTTTTGAATCTCAAGTTCGCGAAACCAGAATGAGGAAATGGAATCTGTTATGGCCGTTTTGGGCCATAACGATTGTTCATGGTGTTGCGATTCTGATATTCGTTAAAGGATTTCTTCTTACTCGTACTGAGCTTCCTTTTTACAGTCGCTGCTCCGATGTTTCTCAGTCTCCCTGTTTCACTTCCGATTCACTTTCTGACAGCAATCCTTCGGTTCCTCCTTCCTCCGGTGCAGCGAATTCCAGCCGGTGCTGGACCAAGCCCGCCGTTAACCGCATCATCATCATTGTTTTTGACGCTCTACGGTTTTCTTCATTTCCCTTTTGTTTCTCATCATTTGTTATTTGCTGACTACGATTTGATTATTTAATCTTCCTTTTTGTTTTCTTTTATATCAATTTGTATGTCAGGTTTGATTTTGTTGCTCCCAGTACATTCTTTGAAGGTCAGCTCACTTCACTTGCTTTGCTAGTTTAGAATGTAACCAGTCTCAATTATTTTAAGTTAAACCAGTGTGCTGTATGAATGCCACGACCAAAATGCTCTAATACCAATTGCTGTTCTTATGCCACAACCAAAATGCTTTGATACCAATTGTTGTAGCAGAAGTAGAAGCTAGATCGATTGTACTCACACACCCATAAACAGAAATTAAACAAAGAGACAAATATTTACATGGTTAGGAGAGAGGAAATTCCCTTACATCCACGGGTGGTAGCCAATCACTATAAACAGATAAACAGAGTGTTTACAAGTGTATTGTTCCCTAATGCCACAACCAAATGTTATTGATACCAATTGTTGTAGCGGAAGCGGAAGCGGAAGCAAGATTGATTGTACTTACACACCCACGAACAAAAATTAAACCAAGAGACAAAGATTTACGTGGTTCGGAGATAAGAAATTCTCCTACATCCACGGGTGGTAGCCAATCACTATAACTAAAGTGTTTACAAGTGTATCTCTCACACTCTCACACTACAAAGTCTCTCTTACAAAGTTTCTACCAATTGCCTCTAGGCAAATACAAAATGACAATGACTTCACATCTCAAAACAATGCTAGACAAACCTTTATATAGGCATAACAATATAAACGTTATACATGAATCAAGATGATTCATGTATCAAAATGGAAGATGAATCAAAAGAGTTATGAACTAAATAAATGAGAGATGAACCAAATAAATGAGAGTTATAAACCAAAAGAATTATGAATCAAATAAATGAGAGTTATGAATCAAATAAATGTCAATACATGCATAGGAGATGCATGAACCTATTTTTTATGACAACTTACAACAATCTCCACCTTGTTAGATGATCCCTAAGTAGATAATCGGTTTGGTTGCCATCAAGTCTACAGACTACTTCTTCCGTGTCCAACATTGATCAAATCCAAGCAATGTCAAAACTTTTAAAGAGCAATTATCTTTATCAACATATCCGTAGGATTATCAACAATTTCAATTTTCAATAAACAAATGTCCCATTCATTGACAATTTCTTGAACAAAATGAAATCATACATCAATATGTTTGATATGAACATGATGGATTTGGTTCTTCAACAAACAAATAGCACTCTGGCTATCACAAAACACCTTTGTGTTTTTGAGCAATACCCAAGTCATTAACTAAACCATGCATCCAACTAACTTCTTTAAAAGCTTCGGTGACTGTCATATACTCTGCTTCGATGGTAGACAATACAACCGTAAACTACAATGTTGAATGCCAACAAATACTCTGCTTCAGTGACTGCCATATACTCTGCTTTGATGATAAACAATACAACAGTAGACCACAATGTTGAATGCCAACAAATAGGTCCACCACGTTTCTGCTGCACCACTCTAATCATCAATTTACAAAGATAAGTTTCTCATTGCAAGCTTGCTTATTTGTTCTTGGAAATCATATTTCCAAGATTTGTGATAATCTCCATCCATTTGAATTTTATTGGCTTTGGTTGCTCAATTTAATCTTGAGCTTGCACAATTCGATGTAAAATCTGCTTTCTTGCATGGAGATTTGGAAGAAAAAATATATATGACACCGCCATTTAGTTTTCGAGTAGTTGAGCAACAACATTTGGTATGTAGATTGAAGAAATCTTTGTATGGGCTAAAACAATCTTCTCATCAATTGTATATGAAGTTTGATCACTTCATGGTGGAGCATTAGTACATTGATAATCAATTTGATCATTGAGTGTATTTTCGGTTCTTTGATGACGACTTGTTTATCTACTTGGTCTTTTATGTTAATGACATGTCGATTGCTTCCAAGGGACAAGTGGAGATTGATAAGTGTCGATCTACTATGGCTAGTGGACCTATTTGTTGGCGTTCAATGTTGTAGTCTATTGTTGTATTGTCTACTTCCAAAGCAGAGTATATGACCGTCATTGAAGCTTTTAAAGAAGCTATTTGAATCCATGGTTTAGTTAATGACTTGGGTATTGTTAAAAAACACGTAGATGTGTTTTGTGATAGCTAGAGTGCTATTTGTTTGTTGAAGAACCAAATCTATCATGCTCGTACCAAGCATATTGATGTTCGATTTCATTTTGTTCAAGAAATTATCAAGGAAGGAGACATTCGTTTATGAAAAATTGGAACTGCTGATAATCCTGTGGATATGTTGACAAAGGTGATTGTTCGTGAACAGTTTTAGCATTGCTTGGATTTGATCAATATTAGACGGAAGAAGTAGCATGTTGACTTTGGTTGCAGCTAAACCGGTTATTTGCTTAGGGATCTTTTGACAAGGTGGAGATTGTTGTAAGTTGTCATGAAGAATAGGTTCATGCATCTCCTATGTATTAACATTTATTTGGTTCATCACTCTCATTTATTTGGTTCACAAGTGTTCTTTATTTGGTTCATCTTTCATTTATTTGGTTCATAACCCTTTTGGTTCATCGTCTATTTTGATACATTATTTTGATATATGAAGCATCTTGATTCATGTATAAAATTAATATTGCTATGCCTATATAAAGGTTTGTTTAGCATTGTTTTGAGATGGGGAGTCATTGTCATTTTGTATTTGCCTGGAGGCAATTGGGAGGAACTTTGTAGTGTGAGAGTAGAGGCAATTGAGAGGAACTTTGTAAGAGAGACTTTGTAATGTGAGAGTGTGAGAGATACACTTGTAAACACTTTGGTTATAGTGATTGGCTACCACCTATGGATGTAGGGGAATTTCTTCTCTCTGAACCATGTAATTTTTTGTCTCTTTGTTTAATTTTTGTTTGTGTGTGTGAGTACGATCGATCATGCTCTCACTTCCGTTACAACACCGTAGTGTTTTAATATAAGTTGTTTTTCAAGTTTGTATTGCGTATTTTGAATTATGTGATACAAGTGACGGGTGGGCTGCTTCTAAATTGTTATTCATTAACTCCCATTACAAGTGATGAGGTTTTTGTCACACTTTTAATCCGTGATGTTGAAATTAAGACTAATCATTCGTGTACATTGTCATAGAATCGAAACCATGGATGGATAAGTTACGAGTACTGCACAAGATGGCATCAGAACGGGGTTTGTCTGCCAAGATTTTCAAAGCTATTGCTGATCCACCCACAACGAGTTTGCAGCGATTGAAGGTAATGTACTTTTAGTTATTTCAGATGTGATGTTTATCGTGCTATATCTCAACTTCAGAGAGTTCAACTTTTAGCTTTTCATAATGATTTTCGTACGTCTGGTGGCAACTCTCCAGTAGTCGAACATGACTTATTGTTCAAGAATGCGTACATATAAGCCACGTGAAAACTTTGGCTTCCTACTTGGCCCATATTGTTTATACTTCTAACTTACTTGTGTAGTAAACGGTTTTTAATGAAATTATTTTGATGTATTTGTAAACATACTGAAAATTTAACCTTCTCCGTCTTGTTGGCTGGCTTGGCAATAAGTCAAAGTTGCAGCTATTTCTCTCTGTTGTTCTCTTTTCTCCCTTCTTTTGTGGGGTGGGGTTATCAAATCGTAGTTCAGAAGTTGTCTGATTCTGATTTTGTTGTACTTTTTCAGGGCATTACGACTGGAGGACTTCCAACATTTATTGATGTTGGAAACAGCTTTGGTGCTCCAGCAATTATTGAAGACAACTTGATTCATCAGGTTGATTCTTGCATCTCTGTTAACGCATCTGCCTATTGCTTGTACAGATGCTGATTAACCAATATCTCCATGTGCACCCGTGTTTATTATTTTAAACATCTAAAGTTTATTTGGTTACTTATCAACTTAAATTAATTTACAGCTTGTTCAGAATGGAAAACGTGTGGTGATGATGGGTGATGACACATGGATGCAATTGTTTCCTCATCATTTTAAAAAAGCATTTCCCTATCCCTCGTTTAATGTTAAAGATCTTCATACGGTATGCTTTGTGATGTCTTCTTTCTTACAGTGAATTTATTTCATTTCAGGATAGACTTCTTCCCTTTAGTTTTCTTTTTCAATGGAAAACTTCGCTTTCATCAAGAATGTTGTCTTAGTTTCAAGGCATAATGAGCTGCTAAAATTTTTGAAGATTTTTGTTTTAGGTAGACAATGGATGCATTGAACATCTTCTTCCATCCTTGTATGAAGATGATTGGGATGTTCTTATCGCACATTTTCTTGGTGTGGTAATAACTTTCTTCCCCTTCTTCTTGTCTGAAGTACATTGTTAATCTTGTTTTGGTTCTTTCTACTTTTCTTGCTTCACATCTAGATCATGCCTTAATTGTGAAGATGGGAAACTTTTCTCCTCCGTCTAAATTCCAACATTTGTTGCTTGGTGTATTATGTGAGAAACAATTAACTGAATGCATGTGATATAGGATCATGCTGGGCATATATTTGGTGTTGATTCAAGTCCAATGATTGAAAAGCTGGAGCAGTATAATTCTATTTTAGAGGTATGCTGTAGCAATCTAACTTGATCTAGCGGTACAGAAGGGAAGAGTCGTTTGTGGTCTTAAGTATTCATTATACACCCATTTCTGTGTCATTTATTCAAATTCTCAGGTATATTGAGGCATCTTGGGAGCTCAAATAAGTCTCTCAACAACGATTATGTTATCCTTTTTTTTTCCGCCTTTCTTAGTTCAACCATAGCTAATCCATCATTCTTCTCAGAAAGTAGTGGATGTGCTGGAAAGGCAATCTGAACCGGGTGGGTTACATGAAAATACTCTTCTTCTTGTGATGGGTGATCATGGACAAACTTTGAATGGCGATCACGGTGGAGGAAGTGCAGAAGAGGTATAATATAATTTACTAAGGGAGATTTGATTTGTGTTTGATCACATTTTTCTGGAATGATTATAATGGTGATACCTTGCAGGTTGAGACGTCTCTATTTGCTATGAGCTTTAAGAAGCCTCCAGCATCCGTACCATCTGAATTTGGCACTTCTTCTTGTCAACTAGATTTGGTATTTTCTTTCTCTTTTAACTCTATAGATATTTGTGGATTTAAATTTCTTTTAGGTCTTTTCTTTGAAAAATACATTTTTGGACTCTTACGTTTGAGAATAAATCATTTTTCTCACTAACTTTCAACAGGAACATTTTCTAGGTTTCAGGAATGGTTCACATTAATCTTTGAAATCATTGTTTCGTATTGGAACCAACAAAAATTGGTGTGCATATTTTATGACCATTTTTCTTCTATTAATATGTATAAATTACTTTGACATAATCATGAATGAATCAAATAAGAATTACCAGTTAGACAAACAAATTTTTTTATAGTAGTATCAACAAACTTATAGACAAATTTGCATTTTTCATTGAATCCCTACTAGATTTCTGTGACTATCATTAATGGTACAATGAGTTATTAGTTTCTTAATTGTAGTTGATTTCTGTTAACCGAATGACGAAGTGCCTAACTACCTTTGCAATATGTATCAAAATGCCTGACCATAATTTTATTATTGATGTTATTTTTTTTGTTTGTGTGTGTTGGGGGGAGTGTGGGGGTGCAGAGAATCTTTCATTAATAGTCGGAAAGCCTTGAAGTTGATATAGTCACATTGATTAAACTTGTGGGTGTTAAGAGCCGTGGTTGGAATATCATAATAATGGTAGAAATGGACTCACTTTTGAGGGATAGTAATAGCAGCAGTTATTCCATATATTTGGATAGTGAAAATCGGGAAGAACAAAAGGCTGGGCTTGGGTAATAACCCGTATACATCTAATTTTCATGCTATCATACTCAGTTGGGAACAAATGCATGCTGTCCTCTGAAAGAACTATCCCCCGGTTGACAATATTAGAAAGCTTTATGGCTTCAATGCAGCAGTTGGCTGATAACCTTGGTTAACTATGAATGTTGTTGGGAGATTTGCAGATCGATTCAGACCTTTAGAGGAATGAGCAAGAATGACGAGTGCATGGTTTTCAATATTACAAAATAATAGTAGATAGGTAAGTTTGGGGGGATTAGGGAGGTGCTTTTCAGCATAGATATTTGATAGAATTAAGTCTACCCAATCATGTAGTTTCTCTACTATATATATATATATATATATATATATTTTGGTAAGAGACAATCTCTACGATATTCTTTCAAGATAGGTGGTAGGAGATTATATCTTTTGTGAGCTCCAGAGTAGAGCTATCATCAATTCTTCCATCAATGGAAGTTTAAATGGCATTTTCTTCATTAAGTGAAAAGTCAACTTTTTGATTCATTGGTCTTTCTACTAACTTTAAGTTAATGAAGTTTGAAATGCTAGCTAATACTAATAGAATTATGGTGTAATTATGAGTAGCATTTTATTGGTACAGGAGGCTTTTGAGTGAGACAAAGCAATCCTAGAGATAACTATTTCATTGATATACAAAATTGACAAAAGGCTTGTCCCAAAATCATCATATACCTACAGCTGTATTGTACGAGTCAAACTGTAGAAAAATGAGGATGTAGATATGCCCATTTCATGTATATGCTTGATTTAGATCATGATCTACTGTGCGTGGCACAACCAAATCTTCTACTCTATCAACAGTTTGATTAGCCTTCGCTAGAAAACCACTTGAGGGAATTGGAAGATGGCATAATAGTGGGAATTGAAGTGACCAAATTTGTGAGTACTAATTGATTGGTTTCACTGTCCATCTTTTTATTTTTCAGGAAGGGAGGGAGATATGTACTAGCACCATCCAACAGGTTAGAATAGTGCTATCTATGACTTGTTAGGAAATCTTTGTCCACATTTTAAAGTTCTATATATATATATATTTCAAGTTATTGCATCTCTTGTTCTAATTTTAATTGCTCTCTGCAGCTTGATTTCCCAGTGACATTATCTGCATTGCTTGGAATTCCTTTTCCTTTTGGAAGGTGCAGTGTAAGCATCATGCCAATACTGTCCTTTGTATGTTTATGTGCATTGTATTGGCTTTCTCATTTCATCACATTAGATTACTAATGAGGACCAGGCTTGACCCCATGGAGGAAAAAGTTAAAAAAAAAAAAGAAAAAAAAAAACCTATTGGAAGAAAGTGCACTTTTAATGAATGATAACCTACCTGGACCGAATCCATTTGAGTAGGATCTCCTTTCGTAATGGTTGGGAGGATTTTTTGTAATGGCTGTCAATTTTATTATTGTCGTCTTCTTTGGCAGTCTCATTCAGGTTTGTTCACGTTCATCGTATTTCTTTCTTCTCTCCTATAGAGAGTATCGGAATCATGTAACTTGTTCTTTCGTATTATAATCAGTGTTCCTTCTTTTCATTTATCAATGAAACTTGTTTTGTTTTTAAAAAAAGTTGTTTATTTTGTATACTTCTTAAAAGATACTTGTAATATTAGTGTCTAGTTGGAACTTGGCAAAGAAATTATGAACTTTTTGTAGGAGCGTGAAGAGGTGGGATTCATTCGGTAAATTGGGAGCATTGTAGTAAAATCTAACCCATCCTTCAAGCGTGTTATATTTAGACTAGGACTTAGAAATCCAGTTTGAATTCTTAAAACTAGAATTATCAGATGATAATGACTTCTTATATATCTTGGACATTGATCAATCCAAACTATCCTAAAAACATAGCAAAACGTGTTAAACTAAATCTTAAGCAAATAAAATTTGAAATTAAATAAATTTGACTCGTAGATGTAACCTACGCTCCCAATTCTTGGGCAAACATACCAGGAATTCACGAATTTGCGTTGTTATCTTTTCAGCATTGGGCGTGTAAATCCTGAGTTATATGCTCTAGGTGCTGGTACATGGAAGTTGGAAGGTATGAAGGTTGGAAACTACATAAATAGCAGAGAACAGGAAGAATGGATGCAGAATTACGTCAATGTACTTTGTATCAACTCCTGGCAGGTAATGATAAGCAGCTCTCATGTTTGCTTTGATGACAATGCCATTCAGATATTATTTTTTGTTATGTTCATTATTATAACACATAGAACACAGTTATCATACTTATGAATCCTAAAGAATTTAATAGATTTGAAAACATGTACCATTCTTACCTCCGGAGCATACATCCACCGCATATAATATGATCTACAATGTTTCACCTGCTTGCCTTCCTAGAGAATTTGGAAAGCGCTTAGATATGACATCCAGAAAATGCATAGCATTTGTCCACTTTCTATTCTTCCCAGGGTATTGCTTGTCCATTATAATGTACACCATTGTCAGATTTGATAATCATTGTACTCGTTCCTCGACCTCTTTCTAATAGAAGATTACTTCAAGTCGAGTCAGCGAGAGAAACCTATACCCACCTAGACATGGTTCTCCCAAGTGTGTCTTGATTCCTTATGAATATCTACTATCTACAAACTTCTTCCATGGGTCATTGTTTCATTCCCAACTTCCCAGAGTTCAAAAAAGGCCGTGTTGATCCATAGGATATTTGGGTTGTCCTTGTATAGCTGTACAAAATCTTTCATTTGTCTTTTAAGTGCCATTCCTTTCTTCTAAAAACTTATTCAAAATCAAATCTCATTCCTCCTTCCCCTCCCAAATCGTACTTGGTATGATTGCACCAAATTCTATGATCACATCATTTCAATTCCCAAACGTTGTCCAGTGATGATTTTGATTGGGTTAACAAACATTGAAGGGCTCATTGTTTATAACATACATATGAAGCACAGTTTTTGATAGACCACCTAGGTTTGGTTCTATTAGCAGACAAGAACCGTATGAAGATTGTTTTTACTTTAGCTTTAGTCAGTTCTCTTAACCAAGCCCATTGCCTATCACTGGCTCTTGCTCCTTTTGCTTGGTGGTAGAGCAATAGTTTCCTCAATCTGGCCATTCATTTGAACGATGATATTGATAAGGTTTTAGCTGTAGCTTGCAGACTTTAAATAGTACAATAGTGTGAAGTTAGACATGGAAAAACTTTTCCTTCAACACAGAGGATATTGAAAATTGTTCTCTTTTAACTTTCAAGCATACTGTAATTTTAGTCGATAATGCTGCTATGTAGGAGATGATTCTCTTTCATTTTTCTTCATCATTCAATCTGATGGCACCAGCATTCTGTCTTGTAGGTGAAAAGGTATATTGATAATTATACTGCTTCATCAGTCATTGGATTTTCTGATGAAGACTTGCTTCACACTGGTAGTTTGTATGCTGATGCAATGGAAAATTGGTCTTACATTTCAAAAGACTTATTATCTAATAGTGACGGAATGGATGTTGTACCTTCTCTTAAGAGGCAAATTGACGCATACTCTAATTTCCTAGCGAGTATTGCTGAGTTAGCACGCTCTAAATGGACAGAATTTAATTTAAAATTGATGACTCTTGGTTTCGGCATTATGGTAGCATCACTTTTTGTCCATTTCATTGCTATAAAGAGGGTTGGCAAACAATGCGGCAGCTCTTTTGCAACTGAAGATTGTGGAACAACTTTCGAGTTAATGCTTTCTTGCTTCATGGTGGCCATGCGTGCATGCAGCTTTCTCTCAAATAGCTTCATTTGTAAGTTGGAAATCTCTCAAGATCTAAATTTATTGGTATATAACATACGGTCACTCACCTCCAACAACCCCCCCCCCCCCCCCCCCC